GTATAACAGTTTTTTTACCTACATTATATCAAAATGATACATATACTTATTAAGTGTAATTTTTTGACATAGGTACACATGGGGCAGACTGATATGGGATTTCACTTACAAACAGTTGTGTACTGTGTTTGATAAGATTGAGGGCCATTTAAACTCAAATTCGGCAAGAATCGGCAGTAGACACACATATACTCTACAGGGATTTATCTATGCATTTAAGGTATGTACATTGTGTTTAATAAGAGCTTTTAAACAACAAGTATTGTAACTTTGTTAACATGGTAAGTTGTTTGTCATCTTAGTTTTGTAGATTTGGATCTTCGGGACATTTCCCAACAGTAGTATTGTTGGTTCCCCTATACCGGGTGTTATCCATCGGGCAGTTGCATACCCTAGGATGAGGTGTTTGCATGCACCTGATTGTGAACGTATTCCCGATGTTACTAATGTATGTAGTCTAGTCCACCTTATAATTTATAAGTTGATATGACATAAATAAGTTATGATTAACCTTTATATATTGTTTTTTATGCAGTGTCCCCCCAACGAGTTGTTGCAGCCTACTGCGCATGAGTGTGCTGCTAGGTGGTGGATTGAGAGTGTCCAGTGGATAGATGTTGCATATTACACTAATGTTTGAGTTATGGTTTTCTTTGTTAATGTTTTAAAACAATTGTCTTTTGCAGATGTAGCAAAAACAATTTTATCCTTAAAACAGTATTATGATACCGTACATACATCACTATGGGTTTTTAAAATCAACAGTATTATACTGTTGGCTACCTTTTTGTCTAGTATGTCTACTCTTATACTAAAAATTATTTTTGCCACTTGACTTGGTCCTACTTGAAGATTCACTTTTTGTTGACTATGTGGGAAACAGAGCGTCACAGTTTCGGCTTATGTGATCGATCTTTTGGCAACAACTATATTTTTTCTAAATTGAACCTTCACCTTGGGATTGGATACGGTTATGATATTTAGGTCGTCCGGCTTGTCGTTTGTCCACTAATGGTGGCAAAACAACCATGACTTCATACGGTTCTTCGTATTTAGCTGGAACTGGCACATGAAACACAGCCTCTGCATATGTTGAATGATATGTTTCCATTGTGAAGTACGATGACACCCATGCGTTGCAGTGTTGATATCTCAGTTCCTTGAATATCATCATAGCATGAGTACAATGTATACCCTAAAATTACCATTTCCCACATGTGCAGTGACGACTTTCCAAGTTTACTATATTATTTTTCATTTGGTCGGTCACCTAATATCTACTTTGATCAATATGGTATACCCGAAAACCAGATGATTTGTTGATCCTCCTATCGATGACCTTCTCAGCATACTCAGTGACATCTTTTTTGCTTTCAGTTATAACAAACATTTACGTATACGTTGTCATATATGCACAGTAAATTACACTACAATTATGATTGAACTATTACAATATAGGGAAACACTTACCTCCAACATTACGTCGCTAGCACCACCATTGTTACATAGTTGTTCAAAAGAAATCGATCAACATTATTATCGGTAGTTTCCTTTCGTCTCTTGATAATGCATTGACAGACTCGGCACTGTTTGATGTCATAATATTGTACCTAACCACGGGGAAACACGACCTTGCCCATCTCTCACTAACGATTCTGTCTATCCATTTCCGACAATCATCGTTTAGTGCACGACATAGTCTACTCAATCTTTCCTTGAAATCAGACTCTCGGTATGCCTTTGCAGCCTCCCAAAACAAAATCTCTGCTCTCTCTTGCTTGCCGATCTTTTTTCTCATATTCATCAACAAATGGCAACAGCAGAGTCCGTGATATGCATTCAGAAACACGACTTGAATGGTCATTTCAATTGAACTGGATCTATCTGATATAATAGCCAAAGATGGCATGTCCCCAATACATTCTTTGAGTCTTGATAAAAACCAAATCCATGACTCTCCACTTTGAGTTTTCCCAACACCAAATGCAATAAGAAGGATTTGGTAATTACCATCCATGCCTACAGCTAGAAACATGGTGCCCAAGTTTCCCTTTAAGGTGTGCGCCATCAATGATAATAAGAGGACGCAAACATCTTTGAAACGCTCGAACCTAAAAAGTAATTGAAAATCTAATTAAAGCAAACGCATGTGTATGGACATTAAATATAAAGAAGTAGGTATATAAAATATATTACCGCGCAACCTATAGCAATGAAAAGTATTCAAATTTATTGTCATCACTCGTCTTTATATGTGTAACCGTCCCCAGATTCGTCTTCTCAAAGTTGTAACAGTATATAGGTAGTCTAAGAAAACTTTCTTCAGGGGTCCCTCTCAATAGATTTAAAGCGTACATTTTAGCATTCCATGCTTGCCAGTATGAAATATGTACACAAAGATGATCATTTAAAGTTCGTTGTATATGTTTCCCCCCAACATATTACCAGTATTATCAGCTAATATGCCCTTCAAGAAGTGACCCAATACCTTTTTGTTGGCTTGTCAGTGATGGGGACGTAGTTATGTGTTTGAGCAAGTGTGTTTCTCTGATAGTTTAACCAATTTAAATGAATCAATAGTATTATGTTTTGTTGCCCTAATCCGCCAGTCACAATTATCCATATAGCAAACAACTTCAAACCTGCCTTTTGTAGATTTTTTCACTTTATATTGGAAACCTTCACTAACACTTTTCTTTCCTAAATTAAGCTTAAGTTCTTTGTTTTTGAAGAGTTGAAATAACTTAACATGGGAATTATAGTTGTGTGTTGTGGCCCCTTTACGATTTTTTGAGCTGATCCGGGCAGTGGTAAAGGATCAGGCATACCCCAATGGGTGGGTTGTGTTTCTTCAGAATCGGAAAAATAATAAGGAAACTTTTCTTGTTGTGTTTTTCGGGGCTATTGTAAGGGATCAGTTTCCTCTTCTCCATCTTCATGGTCATCCCCATCAAATTCAGTAACTCTGAAAATGTCCCACTGGCTCTCCATGTGGAACTATATTACCATCATCAACCAACATCATTAGTTTTGTCTCATCATTCGCAGATTCATCAACATCAATATTAAGGTCATCCTGAACAACAACCTTACCTTTAGACCTATAATCACCCCCATGTATAGGGTCCTTGTAATAAGGAACATGGTTGGTTGTCATAGGTAATAAATTACAAATTTGGTTACTTCCAGCACCGAAAGAACCATTTCCAGAACGATTTTCCCCAGGAAATCGATTAGTACCACTATCCATAACATTATTAACAACAAACAATTGTATTGTGTTAGGAGGCATAGTAGTAACAAAACTAAGAAAATATCTGACATCACTATCGTCAAGAATCTGCATAACTATATTTGATCCAGGACATTGAAAAGATAGACGAATTTAATTTGTGTGTAACCTGGACTTGGAAGCAATCAACGTAACTAGCCCAACGAAGTTGATATCAATGGTTATATCTACATCAAAGCATGTGTAATCCGGAGCAAGATATTGCATACATCCATCGATACGCTGCCATTGCCCTCCACTAGAAACTAGAACTCGGAAAAAACTCGTATACGTACTCATTCCAGAACGTTTTTCGAAAGTATAGAACACACAAATATATTAAAAACACAAATGTATTACATATTTGGAAGAAAAACATAGAAAACCCCTAATTCTATCTCTCCGGAATGTCACTCCGAAATGTACGACCGTTCCCGATGTCAGTCCAGAATGCACTTTTCCAGTCCGGAAGGTACAAAGTGTCAGATTCCGGACCTAATCCCCATCAACCGGCAACCCCTCCGGAACAATATCATAAATACTCCGGAATATCGTGTTCCGAAGCACACCTCCGAAACAAAACATCATGCTCCGGAACACGATATTCCGGATCAAGTAGTCATTTTTCCAAAAAAAAAAATTTGTTGGTTACTTTTTGTTAAAATGGTTGGTTATTTTTAGGGGTGTTGATCGGGTAATTTTTTCGGGTTTCGGGTAATTCGGGTTTTTCATGTTAAAAAAAATACTCGTTACCCAACCCAAATTAAATTCGGGTAATTCGGGTATCGGGTCGGGTTTGGGTAATTCGGGTATTACCCGAAATATATAATTTTTTTTTTTGAATTTCACCTGAAAATAAATTTAATGAAATAAATACGTCGTGCTTTATTAGTCTTGTTTATATAAACAAACGAGGCATAAACGAAGTTACTCAAGCTTTGAACATTGAGATTTTTTAGTCAATAATACCTGAGATATCAAGTAATTTTTTAACAACTTAATCTAATCTAATAAGATGTTAAAAAAACAAATACTTAAAGATCTTAATTTAAAAGTTTAAAATGTTTAAGATAATTGTAGTCATAAGTTTTGTTATGTTCTAAAGTTTCGTCAAAATAATGAGTTTGTTAGTTGCAATAAAAACTATAATCTAGAAACAGTTAAGTTTTAAAGAACATGATAATATATAAACAATTACTTTTAATATTGCTAGTGTCGTATTGTCATAATATAAAAGAGATTCATGTTTTACAATAATGATAGTTAGTTTAAGCGTGATCAAATACCTGCTACAGAGTACAAGCTCTACGGAAAAAAAAAATTAAAATAATTCGGGTATACCCGTAACCCAACAAACGTACCATTTACCCGACCTGAAAAAAAAATCAAGTTACCCGATTACCCGAAAAAATTTACCCGATACCCGAAAAAATCAGACGGGTAATTCGGGTATCGGGTATTTTCGAAAGGGCTAGTTATTTTTTTTTTAAAATGGTTGTTTATAAGAATTAGATTACTCAATTTCCCAGAAATCAAATAACCTTCTAACTTTTGTACTACTCATCTTTCTATTCAATAGATCACGACAAGTATCAAAATCAAATTAAGAGTTTAAAAGAGAGAATTAATAGATGGCACATGTCATTATTATTTTATATGAATAGTAACAAAAGATAAGATGACATTTAATTTTTCATTCTTACAATGACACAAAATGTTGAAAATGAGAACGTCCTTATTAGATCCACATGATTGTGCTTGTGTACAATAGAAAACGGATAATACTAAAACATAAGCAACTTTCATTACCTAGTTATACAACAAACATATGGAGAGTCATGTCCTTATTTGTAAAAGATGTAAACCAGAAGGTAATTATTGTAAATATCATGTCTTTAAACCGAAGACCATGCATTTGCATCAACCCAATTGAAAGCAATTGGTCCCAAGAAAGCATCAGGGATTCCAAACGAACTCACCAAACCAAGTGCATGTGGTCTTAGCTCACTACACAGCTTCAAAACCTCTTTCCTAACCACTGCAGCATTATCTATTGACAAGTAGCCATATCTCAAAAAAGAACCATCTTCTTCCAATACAATTGTAGAATACATTGACCTCATTAACCCCAACACATCCTGAAACAATATTCAATTTCACATTAATTACTTGCAATTTCATATATGAATCTTTGAATTTTTTAAAGGACACATAATACCTTCAAAGAGCCTGATGGAACAGTTGCTTCAACATCAAGAAACGTTTGTAGAACCAACCGATCCGCAAAAGCTCTCCCCAAATCCTCAGCAAGTTGATACATCTGACAAATTCATAGTATTATACTTCAATAACATAAACGTATAAATATTATTATTTTTTACTTTAATAACATTATTTTAAAGATATTATCCGGCGTGTCGCCTCACCACTGTGAATATATGTTCTCTGCTTTCTCCCTGAGCTTGATGTTGTGACACTTCCGTTACAAAACGTTGCAATAAATCTCTCTCACGTAAGCAAAATATGTCAGTCTGCCAAAAAAAAAAAACAGTTTTTAAATCGATCAATTATTCAACATATAAAAATAAAAATAAAAAGTTTTATTACCTGGAATTGAGTGGTTCTAAGAGTAGAGCTTGTGAGATGAGAAGGAATAACTGGAGCAGGGTTGTTCAAGTGTTCTAATCCCAAACCTCTAATTGGTTTGTTCCTTTTCTTGGCTGACAAAAACTCTGCATAGAGTGCCTTGCTAATCTAAATTTGCATACACAAATCATATGATTAGTAATTCTTGAAAACAAATTCCATGTTTAATTAATGGTTGTTTCTTAAAAATATAATTAATTACCTGTTGCATTAGAACATTGTTGTCACCTTCAAAAGTCAACTGCACATCATACTCACTTTTTAAATGACCAACATGATTTTCAGTCTTCAAACCTTGCCCACCACAAGCTTCTCGACATTCCTGATATAAAATCAGCACAAAATAAGTTTTCCCCTTTTAAAAAACTAATTAATAAAATAACAAAAATATTAATAATAAGAAGAAGAAAGTTCATGAGCATTTTAAAAACCTGAAGGGTTCGCATGCAATGCCAGGTTAAAGCAGCCTTGAGTGCACTAGAAACAACATGAACTGTTTTAATTGATTCGGGTGTTCTTTTCACATATATCATCTTCAAATAATTTGAAGCAAAATTCAGAGCATATCTGACACACAACAAGAAAGATGAAAGTTAGAATGAAGTATTAATATACATACATAGGAAATGTTGAAAGAAGCAACAGTAAGAAAATTGGGTAGTTACGTTTTTGCTACAAGAGGTAAGAGACGCCTTTGATGACTTGGATAATCAAGTAAAAGAACTTCTGGTTCATTTGGTTTGATTGAAAAAGCTCGCCTAGTCAGCGAGTACCTAACTGCAACTGCTAAACCAACCTTTGCAGTGTTTATTGCACTAGCAGCAATAGTTACACGGCCAGATGTCAGTGGGGCCAGAAAGGCTGCGAATCGCTGATCTGGATCTTTTATTGCACTCAAATATTGCCCATCGGGTGACACGTCAGCAACTGAATTCAACAGGTTTTCTCTTGGTATGCGTAGATTGTCAAACCAGATTCGACCATTGTCAACACCATTTAAACCGATTTTATGACCACAATCTGCAATACGAACATTTGGACACACATTTCCATCTGAGTCCCTGATTTGAGCTATAAAAGCATGCACTCCTTGATTCACACCATTAATTTCAAGCTGTGAGAAGACCACTGTGTGTGTAGCATGCTGAAAACACACAACAGGAACATAATTGAAGTCTGTAATTTAGCTAATGGAAGATGGAATGATGAATGAGGTCTTACATTAGCTGCACCTCCAATCCAATACTTTTGTGCAGATTCACAAGGGGTGCTGATAATAAATTCCTGAGTGCTTGAATCATATCTAGTGATTGTTTCAATTCCTCGGACCTAAAAAAAATAACTCAAAATTTAACAGATTAGATCTACATAAAACCATTAACATGATAATAACAAGACAAGCTTCACATACATTACTTCCATGGCCTAACTCGGTCATTGCAAAGCAACCCTTGACTTCATAAGTCTCCGTTGGCTTGTACCATTTATCATGATGACGCTTTGTGCCCATGAAACGGATTGCACCACCCCTAAAATTATGTTATGATAGGAGTATAAATGATAAACCCAAACAACGAATAATACGATATCTGGTTATCTCTAATTTCAGAGAGAATCGAAGATTTGATTGTACTAGAAAAGATGCAAATTTACGATGAGATTTTATTTTTAGATTGATGGGAAGGGGACAGGAATTGGTAATTTAAAGAACGGAAAAAAGGGGTTTTACACATACCATAAAAAGAAATGCACTCCAAGCTTAATCCCTAGAGAATGATCAAAAACGCTAGCAGATTCAGCAAGAGCAAATCTAGATAAATCGCCTTCTGGTCCCTTCTTAGAAAACCACCCATCGAAAACCCCATGTTCTCTCAAGTAATCAAGTCTTCTCATCGTCATCTCTCTTTGCTGCTCCATCGACTGATTAAAATCCGGGGAAATAAACACTTTGCCGCCTCTTTCTCTTGGGCAAAACAGGTTGCTCTGTATCATCAGATTGAACACATAGTCGATATCAGCAATGCTCTGACCGTCTAGGAGCTTACGGAGCAACTTGGTATCGAAATTCAACGGCGGCTCAGAGAGTTCCGGTGGGGAGTAGCTGACACATGGGGCGGTGTGTAGAAGATCGGTGGTGGCGTTATGGTGGTTATTGAGATGGCGGGTTAGGACTTGTGTCCTAAAGTTGACCCGATCCATTGGTGACGATGATGATAAGTCTATGGATGATGAATTGAAGAATAAGAAACGAGAGGAAATGGCAGAGAATTTGGGGATTCGTATTTTAAGAAGGCGAAGAGTCGGTAGTGACGGAAATGTGAAAGAGGTTGAGGTTGCGGTTGCGGTTGCGTATGGGCGTTTCTGAAGACGGTAGGGGCCGAAAACATAAGACCATTACCAATTATTTGTCGAAAATAATACTTTTATTACGATAACGACAACAACTTGATAATATGTCCATACATATCCAATTAATGTTTTTTTTATTACATTTTTCAATGTTTTAGACTTCTCGGTATCGGTTAGATTACATCAACTAGAGGAGCTATCCTCAACGGCGTGGAGGAGCCAGAAACACCGCTCCGGCCTAACGCCTAGTGGCTTTGTGTTAAGGCCTAAGGGCTCGACGCAAGACAACGCCCCAATCTCTCTTTCTTTTCTCTACTTTTTCTTCTTTCTTAGGTTTGCAACGGCATTTTCATGGACAAATACCAGCCCTACGACCGCTTTAAGGGCTTGATGCTCTTCTTCTTTTCTTCTTTCCGATGTGGCACCCGTGGTAATGGGTGTCAATACCGAGCAACCTTATGTTGTTGGGATAGGGTTCTTTTAAGATTCTATAGGGATGTTTAGGAAGAAAAAAAAACTTATTGTTTATTAGGTTGTAATTATTAGCTTATTAGCTTATAAATTAATAAATAAGTGTGGGACAATCTATGAAAAAAATGACTTATTATAGATTCTCTATGGAAATAAACTATTTTTCATCCAAACATTTATCTTATAATGGTATGAAACTTCTAATAAGCTAATAAGTTATTTTAACAACCTTAGTCAAACACCTTTACAGTGTAATACTTTTGTCTTTTTCAGTTTCGTGTGTAAACATATTTTGTTTTTATTCTTTTTACTTTTTCTTTCTCAATATTTTAATTTTTTTATTTATTAGATTAATTAAAAGTATTAATTTAATAGTTTCATGTTCAAAATTTTGATGGATAACTCGATCAAATAATTTATTATAGACCGTCTACCATGCTGTAATATATTATAGTCTAGATTTTATAACCATTATTAATTATTGTTTTTATTATATTATTTTCTGAAAAGAAAAAAAAATTATTTTCTATTTATTATTATTATTATATATTCTTTTCGTGATAAATAATATATTATAGGCTTGATTTTATAGCCATCATTAATTAATGTTTTCTATTATATTGTTTTTTTAAAAAGTAATTTTTAATTTTAATTTTATTGTTATTTTTATTATTACTATTATTTTTGTGATTTTCCACGCTAACATAATTATTGCTTGAAGCCATGTCCAAGTTAAATAGCATTCTTGATAGCAGTAAAAAATTAGACAATAAAATACAATCATTAAAGTAAAATGGTTAACATTTAAAAACAAATTAAAATTTAAAGTACAATTATCCTAGGCGGAGAAAGCGAAAAGTAGAAGGATAAAACAATACTATCCAATTCTTAACTGCAATAAATTTATAGAAATAATATGATAAAAACATAAAAATAAATAAAACTTCAAAAGAATAATAAAAACTTCAATACAATTTTATTGTTATAATTTAAATTTGTTAATGTTTACTTGGTATTTTAAGTAATAAAATAAATAACGTTAAAAAGTTTATCAAAAGGACGAATAGTTTGTATGGTTTCTATATTTTATTTTTTAATAAAATATTCAGTTTATTACATGTTTATCTAAATATATTATAGTACAAAAATATATAACACTAGTTATATTATAGTATAAAAATATAACAAATGATGAAAACAAAACAATAAGAAAGAACGAATAAGAAAAAATATAATAAATTTAAATTATTTTTCTTATCGAAGAAAATAAGAGAGGGAAAATGTAGTTTAATACTTTAATTAATAGAAAAAATGAGACTATAAAATAATATCTAATAAAAAAATCAAAATAAAATAGGACGTAACAATTTTGGTTTGTTTGGGATTAAAGGTGAAGAGCCGTTTCAAAAAAAAATTAATAAATAAAATAAAATAAAAAATAATGAATTATGTCAACGGGGGAATATGGTAGGTCAATAAGGTGGTGCTAGAGTAGTAGTCATATAAAGTAGTAGGACTCTTTTAAGATTCCTAGGGTAGTACTTTTTCAGTTTCTTGTATAAACATATTTTGTTTTTGTTTTTTCTTTTTCTTTCTTGATATTTTAGTTTATATATTTATGAGATTAATTAAAAGTATTAATTTAATATTTTCATGTTCAAAATTTTGGTTTGTTTGAGATTGAAGGTGAAGATAAATCGAATGTTGTCAACCGTAGAAGATGGTAAGTCAATAAGGTGGTGCTAGAGTAGTAGTCGCATAGAGCATACCCCGCAAATATGACGTGTTTTGTCGAGTTGTGTTGAGTAGAAACAATAAACGGATTAAATGAATTTGATCACAACCGGACCTTTTTAATTAACATATTACGTCGCGTCAACCCATTTATTTTCGCATCCAGTTTGTGTTTTATTAGCAGATTAAAATTTAGACCTTGTAATTATATTTGTCTGTGTTGTGTTAAAATATTGAACATGTTAAAAAAATAGGAGTTGTAATGAGGAGGGACGAGGTCAAGAAGAGGTAGTGGCCAAATGAAAATGGAGTTTTGAACTAGAGTGATAAATTGTTTCCATATTACAAACCAACCCAACCTAAAGTTTTTCTTCTACTTCTAGCTACCGATTTATTTAAAGAATTAAAATGACTTGAATATATATAAACGGGTAATTTTCAATTTGAAAAAACCCTAACATTATGTTTAATTTTCTTGTGTCATTTCAACCCGGTTTATCAAACGGGTTTAAAATGTTCACCCAAACTCGTTTATATTATGTCGTAAATCACACTTTTGGTCCCCAATGATTTGTAATAGCTTTAGTTTATGTTTGAAAATTTAGCACCATGTATCTCCATGGTTTCAAATTCAAAATGCATCGCAAGTTAAAGAAAGGGAAAAAAAAGGTTTAGAAATTAGACATACCATAAAAAGAAATGAACTCCAAGCTTAATCGCCAGAGAATGATCAAAAACACTAGCAGTTTCAGCAACAGCAAATCTCCACAATTCAGCTTCAGGCCCCTTCTTAGAAAACCACCCATCGAAAGCTCCCTGTTCTCTAAAGTAATCAATTCTTCTCATCGTCATCTCTCTCTGCTGCTCCATGGACTGATTAAAATCCGGTGCAACAAACACTTTGCCTCCTCTTTCTCTTGGGCAAAACAGGTTGCTCTGCATCATCAAATTGAACATATAGTCGATATCGGCAATGTTCTGACCATCTAGGAGCTCACGAAGCATCTTGGTATTGAAGTTCAACGGCGGCTCAGACAGTTCCGGTGGGGAGTAGCTGACACATGGGGCGGTGTGTAGGAGATCGGTGGCGGCATTATGGTGGTTATTGAGATGGCGGGTTAGGACTTGTGTCCTGAAGTTGACCCGATCCATTGATGAAAATGATGATGAATCCATGGAAGAATAAGAAAATAGAGGAAATGGCAGATAATTTGGGGTTTTGTAAGAAAAAGAAGAAGAGTACAAAGAATTGGTAGTTACGGAAGTGGGACCCGGTTTTGCCTATGGCCGTCTTGTGCATGGGGTATGTGTTAAAATAGGGGCTGCGACCGATAATTTGTCCAAGACAATTATTTTATTTTGATAAAAAAAAATTAATATATGCAGCAATACATTTTCATTTCTATCAATAAAGTGCCCCGGGGCCCTTTATATAATATATAAAAATATATCAAAATCTTTAAAGTATCCTTAGAGTAGGGCCAAATAAAATCAATGTGAGCGTTGGTTTTTCCAACGAGACACTGAAAGATGTTTTATCCATCATCCTAAAAATGATTCAAAAGCTTCGGTTGGCTTGACAGCGTGAGATGTCGCGTGAGATGTCGTCACATTTAAGCCATCCGAAAAACGTTATTAACTCAGTGTCATATTAACTCTACCACCAACCCACTAGACATTGGAATGATTACCACTCTATATTATTATCTTATTATTTTTTATTTTATTTTTTTGACATTATATTAAATAAAAAAACAGAATTTTAAACTTAAATAAACATTTTATTAATAAAAAAATTACATTAAAACCCTATATTATAAATTGAAAAACTACTAATGTAAGAAATAAGACTTAGGGGCCTTTTGTGTCAAAAACCAAAATTTGGGCATAGGATTCTTTTGTGTTCGAGTACAACCAATACATTTCTTCCTTATTTCATTCAACCCATCAAACCCTAAAACCTTTCCCCCTTTTGTGGCCTTGCTTGCGCCGACCAAAAAGAACCAGAAGAACTCGGCATGAGAGGGAAGAACAGATGGAAATGGAGAAAGACAGCAGACGAGAAGGAGAAAGAGAACAGATTAAGAATGACCAGACATAGAGAAGAGGGTCAAAAAAGCATCGTCCAATCAAATCCATCGTTTTCGCCCGTGGCTGGAGTCACGCCACAACACACCCACTACCCATTGGGGCGGTATTCACGCATGGGTAGGGGTGACACGTCGGATGTCACGCGTGAAAAGACCTCCCATACCAGATGGCCTTATGGCAAAACAGCCCAATAAAGGCTTTTTTATGTTTAATGGATTTTCATATTCATCGATTAATCTTCTATTTTTGTATTTCCTCTTTATTTAATGTTGTTTACATTAGTTTCTTTCAACATCGTCACTGTTAAATACTTTTTGTGTTTCTTCTTTGAATACTTTTTTTTAGATATTTTAGTTTTTAGATTTATAATATTCAATGTAACCTTTTAAATTTGTTTCGGGTCCAAAATTTTATTTCGTTTGGGATTAAAGTTGAACTAGTGAAGAGGCTTGTGCGCTACACGGGTCGGATTTTTTTGTTAATGTTTGGCGGGTCACGAAACTAGGACGTGCTGAATATGAAAGTATGATGCTTAAAAACTAAATAAAGTAGAAGTGGATGTTGCAATCATTAACATTTAATGTTGGGTGCGAAGAAATGAAACTACATTGCTATTATTCACTAACTCCAAGAGAAACCAAGAAGTTTCTGTTAGCATTTGTTACAGATTACTTTGGCATATATGACCTGCACCCATAAACATCATTTTAACTTTAAACAGGTGTCTATATGGAAACAACATCCTCTTTACTCATAAATATTACAAAACTGCAAAAGAAACATGAAGTTACCATTAATTGTACAAATTTTAAAAATTTATACCCTCTTTGAATTCTTGATTTGGGTGGTATCAATGGATATCGATTCCATTTTGTCAAAATTCAATATGTCAAGCAAGGAATCAGTCTTCTGTTTGCCAACTATGTATTCATTTGTGTTGATAATCCACGTTTCCAATCATTGTATTAATTATATGCAAAGAAATATTAGAATTTAAAATTTTAAAAATAGTAAAGAGTTTAATCACTTGTAAATTAATTTGCAAATTTTGAAAGTGCAATGCTTAAAAATGAAAAAAAAATGTAAGTAAGATGCTATAATCGATAAATTTTAAAAATGAAGTGCTTTAGAAAAGAACTGGAATGAAAGTATGATGTTATATTTGGTGGTTTTTTATAAAAAGCAGTAGTATTGTGTCAATAAAGAATTACAACTGGAGAAAATTAACAAATCATTAATGAAAAATCTATAATGTCCCAAAAATATCGAGTAAATTTTTTTTTTATTTTAAACTAGATGTGAGACCCGTGTATTACACGGATTTATTAAAAAAATATATATATAAACCTGTAAACCTTAGGCAATTTAAAAAGTAATAATTATATATATATATATATATATATATATATATATATATATATATATATCTTTATTACTTATTATGCAAATTTAGTCAAATGCTGGATTTTAAGAGGTACATGCATTAAAGCAGCATATACAACCATTTTATGCATTACACTAAAATTAAATCTTATCCAGTCAACATCTGAATAAGTCAATAAAAAGTGCAGGATTCATTGACCAAGTCCATATTCCCTATTCTCTTCAACAACCTCCCTACTATGTTTCCCTTTCTTCGACCCTAATGACTATACATCTGTTACACTTCTAAGCCCATTTATATAACCCTCTCCCTCATCTCCACTCCTCTCCATTTTAAGGTATATACCTTAAAGTAGCATATACAACCATTTTATGCATTACACTAAAATTAAATCTTATCCGGACAACATCTGAATAAGTCAATAAAAAGTGCAGGATTCATTGACCCACTCCATGTTCCCTATTCTCTTCAACAACCTCCCTACTATGTTTCCCTTTCTTCGGCCCTAATGATTATACATTTGTTACACTTCTACGCCCATTTTTATAACCCTCTCCCTCATCTCCACTCCTCTCCATTTTGAAGATCGAAAACCACAACAATCACACAACATAAAATCGAAAGGAAAATCGTGGGTTGCAATTATCCAGATCTATGTTGGAACCCTCCTGTGATTCGCCATTTGTAACCCTTCAGGTGATATCTTTCCCTTTGATTTCACACACACATACACACACTACCACCGACTCACAGCCACTGCCATAGACTTCCCCAACCACTGCCATGATCTACACTACACCAAATCACCACTAAAGCCACATGCTTCCCGTAAAAAGTGCATCTACAACCCTCTATTGGTAGCTCTGTATCTCGATTTTTGATCGAATGGAGGTGCAGGTAACAAATCTATCAAATGCTCTATGGCTTTAATGAATATCTTAGTTTTCATCTTTATTTCATAATTTTTGAGTTTCAGGGTATGTGATTTTGTTATTTTAGTCACCACCTCTTCGTCTCGCTCATCTAATGAACCAGAAGATAAATGATATTGGGGCTTTTCAATGAACACGAACGATATTGGGGTTTTCTATTTTTAGGGCTTTTTGATCATCAATCATGTCCCTGATTACCTAGAAATCAAATCTAACAAAGACCTACCTCGAAGTAAGATTTGACATCGATTCTCTCCATTTTGATTTTATTTTTCGGGCATTTAATCCTTTTTATAAAACTCAAACTTTTACATTTTGAATGTTTTTCAAGAAACAGGGATGGAGGTGAGTCAAAGGAAGGAGAAGGGGTTTCGGAATTTGGATCTGAAGAAAGACTCCTTGCACCTGGATTATTTTTCGTCATCCCTCTCTCTTGATCTAGAAAACCTAAAATGTGCCACCATTACACTACCACACCAGCATACATTAAAGGTAAGCATTGATTTCAAGCCCTAAACCTCAATCTAATCTCTATTTTGAGTTTTCTTCAGATTTTTTATAAAATCAGATTTTGTGCAAATTTTGGTGTGTGTCTATCATTATTAGGTTTGGAAGGACTATTCTTTCATCATTCGTTTTGTTGTTCGGTGATAGTTTATCTTGTGTACACATCTATTTTCAATTATGTTTTGGTTCATGTTAACAAGAATAAAAATTTTAATGGTTGCAGACTTGCAGGTTGATTGTATGAAAGATAAAAAGGGAAGAAAAAAAAGATCCATCTGGTTAAAAGGCAGAATAGAAGCAGGTTCTGATTAAGAGAAATAGTTTTTGATATAACTCGGTTGGATTCTGATTTTTGTCCTTTGTTTGGTTTTAGATGGTGTCGGATGCAAGAAAAAAGAACGAAGAAGCAGCTTCAGAAGCACGATTATAGGTAAAGATTTTCTTTTTCTATTTTGAAGTTTTTTGTTTTCAAATTTGTAGTGGTTGAATGTTCGGTTCTACAAAAATTCAAGAGCTTCATTGGGATGTCTAAGACCGCTATACGAGTTTACTCTTTTGATAATGTTCAAATTTCAAAATGGAATTTCAAGATCTGTTCTTAGATTTTTCAGATACTAAGGTGATTGGTTTAACATTTTTTCTATAGTTTCTTATCAGGTTTGATATTTTAATGGTGCATTCCAACTGTTCGATGAAATGCATGTTGGGGGTAACGTATTTTGTTGTTTTCATTGATTTCCAATATATTATATTTTATTCTTAACTTGGAATTTTTAGGTTCTCGGGTTCAAATATTATTTCAAGGTTTCAACTGTTGGCTTTTAGGTGGAGGTGAAGAAGCAAAGGAAATTCTCTAAGAAACAAAAAATTCTCTAAGAATCAAGAAATGCTTTGTTGGTGGTTGGTTAAAATTCCGATGATAGATGAAACTTTTACGGTGTGTACTTTACCACTTTTTCACCGCAACCTTCACCATCTTCACCAAACATCAAACAAAAACCTTATATATGTGCCACCAATCTCTCCGTATATACTTTTTCTCTCTACACATGTCATTTTGTGAGTTTTTGACTTGATTTTTTTTGTTTGCTCCGATCTCTTTTTGAAAATTAAAATGTTACGAGCCATTCGTTTAAATGTTTTTTTTCATTTGTTGAACAATATTCATCTAATTTATTTTTTAATTTGCTAGGTGCTTTTCTCTGCCGTTTGAAGTTGACCTTCAACATATTCAGGTTAACCCTCATTTTCTCATTTTCTTT